TTTTATTTTTAATTGTATCAGCTTTGATCCTAAATATACACCCTCATTTTCAAATAAAATAAAAAATAGATTTGATTTATAGAAAATGTATTCAATTACTTGCAAAAATACCCAACTATTAGCTGTTTCTGTAGTAGTGCAAGAAAAGTATTTATTTTTCATCTTTAGCACAAGCTTTCAGTCGATGTCATTTTATGCTACAATTTGCTTAAGACAAACAGTTCAAATCTTTAAAGTCTCAATTAAATGCATAATGTATTATAAAGACGCCATTTAAAAGCCTTACCTTCGCGTGTCATCATCCAGTTCTCTTGTTCGGTGAACTCGAACCCTCGGCTCCAGGTGTTGCATGGAATTGGCACTGGGTATGCCAAAGTCTGGCTCATGAACTGGACCTGGGGACTGCAGAGGAATCCTGGCCACAGTGTTCTCCGCTGTTATCTGACCGCAGTCCCCAGGCTGTTCTCCAGGTCTGTTCATTTGCAGAGGTTTTTGGACGTTGACATTTGCCTGGTTCTGGCGCGATGCTGTCACTGCTGCTGCAATGGCAGCTGCCTGAGCAGGCTGGAGCTTAATGCTGTTGATATTATTTGAAGGCCTTTCTGAACTTGGATCTCTCTGGAAGAAGTACTTTTCCCCAGCCCGAATTGTAGCATACTTCTCTGGGTTTGGAACACTAGCATATTTATTCCCCTCTCGTAGTGTGCTGTACTTCCTTACTTCCTTTAGATTGCCGTATTTATCCACAATTTGTATGGTACCATATTTGTTTCCCGTGTCTCTCATGGTGCTGTATCTTTCCGTTTCCTTTAATGATAACTGTCTCTTTACTTCCTTCTGAGGAACATAAATTTGCCCATCTTTCTGGAGCATGTGTCTATCTCCAACTTTCTGCAGAGCATACTTTTCTCCATCTTTTGTAAGTAGAAACTTTTCACCATCTTTGGAAGGAGCATATTTATCCTCTGTTGGTGTCACTGTATACTTATTATTCACTTTTTGAACAGCATAATTCTCCACATCTTTTTGCAGTGAGTATTTCTCCCCATCCTTTCGCAGCAGGTATCGCTCCCCGTCTTTGTGAAGGAGGTATCTATCTCCGTCCTTCTGAAGCATGTAGCTAACTCCATCTTTCTTTAATGAGTACTTTTCTCCGTCTCTCTGTAGGGTGTAATACTCTCTCTCCTTCTGGCTATTCTGTTTTTCAATGTCTTTCAAGCGTTTTTCATCAGCCCGTGAAAGTGAATGTTGTCGAACAGGTTCTCTGTTCCGTTCATTGTTCTGGATCTCAGGCTGCGTAAGGGCAGTGTGGTTCAACAAGTTGTTCCATTGCTGAGGCGTCTGCTGCTCCATGTTCAGCTTGTCTAGCCTGTGTTCAAAAGGCAGAGTTAGTTTCCAATATAAGGAAAGAAAAACTGAGGCAAAATAAAAAGAGAAGATTTATAACAGATCCCTGTCTTGATTTATTTGTAATGCTATGTTGGGTAACACCTTATTTGACGTGTGTGTGAATAAGACAGGCATGTCACTGTCATAAACGTGACATAACACCTGTTATGAACATGAAGGAGTCTTCATGAATATTTATGACTGTTGTCATAAAGCGTCATTCGGTAAATTATGACACTTTTAATACAAAGTTGACATTATTCAAAATGTCTTTGTTATGACAACTTGACATTAACCAAGAAATCATGATCTGTTATAAAAATATTCCCGATTAAACTTTAAAAATGATGTAGGTAAGAGATAATATTAATGACACTGTAATAACACTTAATGACATCGTCATAACTGGTGCTACTTGTTTCACTTGATGTAAGAGGAATTTGTAATGAGTGTTTTTAAAGCTTAATGAAATCTTTATTGTTGGTCCTAGTTGTTCCGCTTTATTTCAGGTAGGGATAAATAATTACTGTTTTGTTAATGTTTTTGACAGTCTAATAACACTTAATGACATTATTATGACTACTATTATGACATATTATGTCATGTTTATAACATAACACCTTAATGTCAGTCTTATTCATACCCCGTCAAATAAAGATAACTTGGGTAGACAGTCAGGTTAAGGAGATGATATTATGAAACAATTTGGGTTTTAAAAAATAGCATAGCAGAAAAATCTAAGATTTTTGAGGTGACAAGAAAAGGTAAATTGTTGTCAGGGATCTATTATGCAATTGGTCAACTTCATCAATTTAAAAATACTTGCATAATCCCAAAGGCCATTTAATGTTGTGGTAACTCATTATCTAAGGTTCTTCAAAGATTTATTGTAGATGCTGGTGGCTGTGGTCAGCAAGGACCTCCTGAGGAGATCTGCATTACAGTCTGTATTACTACAGTTCTGAAGAATCCTCTGAATGAAGACACTGTTGTTGTATGACAGCCTCACGAGGAAGATTCATGAAGAGCATGGTTGGGGTTACCCATGAATTTCTTGATTTTATGAGACTTTTTATGTCTCTGGTTCTGATGCTGCTGCCCCAACAGATGACAGCAGAAGAGATGACACTCAACAACAGACTGATAGAAGATACACAGCATCTTATAATTATTTCTATTTTACTTGGTTTTATAAAATTGATTGCAGTTGGAGTTTTGATTAACAGTAAAAACTATTACATTTTTCTGTGAGTTTTAGATCAAATAATCAATCTAAACTGTCTAACACTTGCTTTAAACACTGAAAGATGTTCGATTCATTAAGAAGTCCAGTCTGCTCTGTCCCTTTTTGTCGAAGCTTCACTGTTGCGTCTCCAGTCTGTTGTCCATGTGAACATTAAGGTATTTATATTTCTGTACTTCCTCTCCTGTGATGGAAATACACCTTGGCATAAAGAAGTTATGGTCTAGACAGGAAAAAACTTTGAATAGAAACTTGCTGAGAATGGATCAAAGCTCCTCCAAGCATAATGCATGTAAAGTGTGCTTGATACTGACCTTTTGACCGGCTCAGTGTGGACGAGTGCAGCGTCTGTCATGACTTTCATCCAAGACTCCATCTCCTTTGAGGTGTCTGTGCAGAAGTAATATGTCCGCATGTTGGGGTGAGTGGCCTGACAGTGGTGGAAAGAGCAAAGAGTAGATGGTTATAAGCAGACTCTGAGGCAATATTGACTGAAAAGAGTTCATGTGCATTCTTCTGTTCTTCACATGGGAAATAGAATAGAATAGACAAGCAAAATCAACTGGACTTGATTTTGCTTATCAGTACTAGATTTGTAAATGTAGCCAGAGCATTTACACTGACATGGTCATTTAATCAATAATATCACTTTTCATCTGCATACTGATGTCAGACATATTGGAAACTGTTTGGAAAAAAGTAGCAATTAACATTTTACTGTTAATTAACATACGAAGTATCCCACATCAGTTCATCTGTTGCTCTGTCGGTCGTGGCAGGTGGCCCCTTCCACTCAGTTAGGTTTTAGTTCTGCTGGAGGTTTCTTCCTGTTAAACGGGAGTTTTTCCTCTCCACTGTCGCTACGTTCATGTTTGGTATGAGGGATTGATGCAAAGTCAAAAACACAATGCATGCAATTGTTGCTATCAATGACTTGATGCATAGACTTACAAGAGTTTCCTTGCAAGCAAATCCATCAACACTCTTGATGGGTTTGCTTTGACAGAAAACTTTTTGAACCAATGCAAATAATGAGCTTGCTTACTGTTTAATAATTAGAAATAACTGGAATGCATGTGTGTTTGAATTGGAATTACTTATCTGTAAAGTCCCTCCAGATAACATTTGTTGTGAAATGTTTCACTTTAAACAGATGTTATTGAAAAAGTGAATTGAAATGTTTGTTTTTCAATTAGTTGCATAAAATTTCTGCAAAATAATAGTTGGCCAATAGATATTCTTAGATATTTTCCTAAAAAAAGCTAAGACCTCACTTTTACTTTCTTAGACATTCAGGTTTGAGGTTGATTAACATTTTGGATCAAACAACATTTAGAAGAGTTTACCTTGAAGGCATATTTCTTACTGATGTGATCATCCACAGACAGCATGGAAATGTGAAAACTGGGCAGCAGGATACTTCCCAGAATGCTGTCCTCCTTTTCATCTGCAGAAATGACAAAGGAAAGTTTGACATAATTCAGCAAGACATTTAAACATGAAGTGACTGTCTAAACCTGAACCTCTCTGAAGTGGTTTGTCTATCAAACATGAAGGTTGAGGTGTATAAACGTTGGCTTTAGATGTCAGTGATTAATGATTTCCTCTTTTTTGGTTGTCTAACATTTGCATATTTAAACATGTCTGTTTTTGACCTGAGTCTTGCTGGTCAAAAACAACATGCTTAGTGAAATGCATGCCATTCAAATTGTTTCAAAAGTATTCAGAAAAACAAAATGCCCATGCTTTATTGGGTTCAGCACACCAACGACTCCCTGCCTGTCCGCCTGCTTCAGAACATGATATGTCACCCAGGTCACCCTTCACTGTGGATGCCCCCTAATGGCCATTACTGGAATTTTCTCAACAGATGGAAATCTTATCAAGGATGGAATAAAGAGAGCAGCCCCTTTAATATCTTCTTTCTTCCTCACTCCTTTCCTCAAACGACCAGACTCACCAATGCAACAATCGAAAAAATGTCCTGAAACCTGGTGCTTTAAAGAAAACAATGCAGCAGTATAACCAGATGCAGAGCCTCCCGGCTTCTACTTTATGGTTGTAAAATAACCAGCAAGGTGGTGGACTTACTGCCTGATGTTTGGAAGAAATACAGAGCAGCAAATAAAGAAAACTTTTGTGAAATTGTTTTTCTTTTAGAACAAACTTAACAACCTGATAAAGAAGTCTGGTTTGGTTCTGGGGGAGACTGTGGAACTGTGATTTTCATAAAATCAAGAAAATGATGGGCAACTCTGACCATCCTCTTCATCAGACTGCCATACAACAGCAGAGCATCTTCAGTCAGAAGCCTAATACAGACTGCTTTAGGATATGCATCATGTTCACAGCCATCAGTCTCTACAGCAATGCATTAAAGAACCTTGAATAATACGACATACAACATTTAATTTTGGGATCAAAAAGAATGATCTGAATTGAAATGAATGTTACGGTCTGGTCCATGTTCTTTAAATCAGGCCTCAGGGTTTGCTGCTTTGATTTGAACTCATTACAGTGGAGGATTTAAAGACTTTAAACTATAATTTTCAAGAATAAACAGTCCGTAAAAAATACAAAGGCAGAACTCCATGTTTAGACTTAATGCACTGACTGCAGTAAACAATCCATTTATTCTCAATATGAGAATAAATGGATTGTTTATTGTTTAGATGGTTTCATTATATGATCCAAGCTGTGATGGAAGTGGAGCTGTTTCATTGTTATGATGGGCAGGAGACAGAGATAAACTCTGAGCCCTGAGCTCAGCTACAGAACCTGCTTTCTGACACAGACCCCCACTCTAACCAAATACTAAGTCTTTTCAAGGTTCAAGTTCTTCTTCCACAGCTTCATGCCTGTGCTGTCCTAAAGGAGTCAAAGGTTGCACAAGGTCAGACAGTTAAAAGTTTAGAAATTACTCCAACACCCACAAAGGTTCAAGGTTCAAGTTCAAGTTCCAAGCCATTTGTGTAAAAGTCCAAGTCAAGTCAAAATTCTCTGAAAATGTGTTCAAGTCTAAAGTCATAATATCAGTGACTCATGTCTGACTTGAGTCCAAGTCCCAAGTTCCCACCTCTGTGACATACTATATACTGTTTTAAATCTGACTTAGTGTACCTATTGAGGTAATCAGACAGTGACAGTCTGCTCTGGAAGGAATGGAAAGAATGACCTTTCTAAAAACTGAAGCTAAATGTGGAACCTGCTAGAATGTGTGTATGGAGCTTCAGCAGCATGCATGCTTAGAACTTTGATAAATGGCTTTAGTTGTTCAAATGCCAGCTTTGATCATCAGTGCATCATCTCACTTTGCTACAGTGCATGTAAATCTAGTTGTTGATTTTAACAAGATGAGATTTACTGTGGCAGGGACACTCATCGTCTTTCCCCCCAGGGGAGGAATAAATGCTGAGGCTCCAAATTCTGCTGGCATCTCTTAGAATCAAGTGATCCAACAAGTAGGAGAAAAATGAAAATAAGAGGTGGTTCATTGTTAGGTAGACAAGGATGCTGTCCTTCTTGAGGTTGTCTCACCTCTCGCTTCTGTAGCTTTCAAAAACAATAAACATCCAATCCGTCCTTGTGTTTGTCATCAAAATGGCAGCTGATTGCATTTTGGGAGCAACTAATTTGTCACTGTAGAAAGATGGAAAATCTCCTTTTAAGTGTTTAGTAGAAATGAAGGATGGACAGATAGACTTTGTGAAGAGAAGGTTCTTCAATTAATGTGGCCCTGCATCATGGGAACGATTCCTTAAACTGTAATAGTCCTTGTTAGAATGACCTTAGTTTAGTAATAAAAACTATTTTTATTCTAATGATAAAATATCCCATTTTGTTATCATCT